GTGGACAACGTTAGACGAGAGACACAAAGAGATCCTGTCTTGGCCCAAATGCATGAAATGACCAGGAAGGGATGGCCACACAACCATGAGCCTGCACTCAACCCCTATTTTGTTCGCAAAGATGAGATCACGTTACAATCAGGCTGTTTGATGTTGGGAATAAGAGCAATAGTACCCCCAAAACTACGCCCTCAAGTTCTCAAGGAACCTCATCAGGGACATATGAGAGCCGTGAAGATGAAGGCCCTGGCCCGAAGCTACACCTGGTAGCCTGGAATCGATAAAGAAATTGAACTGTCTGCTAATTCCTGCCCAGGTTGCCAACTAGTACAGAGGGAGCCCAGTACAGTGCCAGTGCACCCATAGGAATGGCCTTTGTTGCCCTGGCAACGAATTCATGTCGATTTTGCAGGTCCCTTCCTTAACAGTGTGTTTTTAGTGGTAGTGGATGCATATTCACGTTGGCTGGAGATAGAGAGAATGAACACTACGACTTCAGCGAAAACCACTGAAACCCTTCAGAAGTTGTTTGCAAGATATGGCGTACCAGCCCAGTTAGTGAGTGATAATGGGCCTCAGTTCGCATCAGAAGAGTTCCAGCAATTCCTTAAGAGAAACGGCATCAAACACATCACCTCTACACCTTATCACCCTGCCACCAACGGCCTAGCAGAAGGTGCTGTCCAGAGTTTCAAGAATGCCAATGCCATAAAGAGTGAAACTCCAGTGACATCTTTGAACATTAAGTTAGCGAGATTTTTGCTAACTTATAGAAACACCCCCCACTCAACCACCGGAGAGCCACCGTCCCAGTTGTTTTTGGGAAGAACATTATGCACTCGACTGGACTTGTTAAAACCAGATCTCTACATCCAGGTAAACAACCGTCAGATGGAACAGTCTGTTGCCAAGAGTGGTTCTGTAGCAAGGCATTTTTCCATTGGTCAGAGGGTGATAGCACGAAATTACACTGGAAAGTCAAAGGGGGTACCCGGTATTGTCCGTGCACGATTGGGACCCCTGTCTTATAAAGTGGAGATTGGGCCTATCCTAGTTTGGCGTCGAGACAAGGATGAACTCCTAGATTCCAATGTTCCTGTTGCAGACAGACACCTGCCAGTTTCATACGCCTTGCTTTTTCCACTCCCAGCCACGACCACTGATCACCCAGTAGCTGAGCCACCTGAACAGACAAAAGTTGTCTCAATGGAGACAGACTGCCAGTCACCCAAATGCAATCCAGTGACTGAATCGTCCGCTAGCAGCTCACCGAGCCAGATTGAACATGTTCCTGTTAGACGATACCCTTCCAGAGTGTGGAATCCCCCAGTTCGGATGGATCTTTGAACATTGAACTGTTTTTTATTGGGGGGGGGGGAGGTTAAGACTGATTTTTTTTTATTGATAGCATGTTGTGTTGAACTTTTGGAAAGTCTTTGAATTCTTAAGGACTTTAGGGGACAAGAGACTGGCTTACAGGGGAGGTGTTGTAGTGTATGCGGTTGGTCCTACTCGTCAAACATCTGCTCAACAGCTTCATGAGTGTGTCAAACCATTAAGAAATTTAATTTTACCTGTAAAGACAAATTGGATTTGAAGGAATTTTTTTTCATGATTACTGCAATCCCCACCCCATAGTGCCAGAAGATTGTCACAAATCATTAATAATAAATTATTAACATAAATTATTAACATTAAAATGCATCACTTTTCAAACCTCATTTCCTTATGGGCAGTACAACATACCTTAACAATTTGTACTCGATCGAGGCTTCCTTTTGTCCACTAAGATAATAAGGGATGCTTTGAGGGTCACTAGGAAACAAACCTGAGGAATCACGTTATAAAGGGACGGTTACCAATACGTTTATTTGATTTATTCTGATTTATGAGTAGACAATCTACGAGAAGAGACTTGTTGGTGCAACTAAAGGACAACATAAGATGTATTGTACCTTTCATTTGGTTTGGCATACATCCATAGCCGGTCAAGTACGATTTGCCTTTTTTGCAGCGAGTTATCGCCTTGAAGATTCGTACGCATCATGCACATCTCTGCAAGATCCATGGCTTATATAAACATTTCTAGCTCAGTACAACGTCCAGATTTTTGTTGCTATAAATTTAAAGAAACCCTCAGAATTGATGAATATCTCGTATCTTATGAGTCGATATTAGCCTAAATATCAGACGGTGTGAATCCACTTGGTCAAATATCCGTCAAAATCACAAGAAAGCCCTTAGATCGTCTGAGAACCTGGCTAAATAATCGCCTTGGTGCCTTAATCTTGCAGTAAATGACTGTCGATCGATCGTAAACAACAAAACAGCGAACGGCGGAAACAAATCACCCAAGCAGCGTCTTTTCCTTTACCAAAGACGACCAAAACGTTTACTCTTCTCCACTTCTTCTGCTCTATATGGCATAGCCAGCAACGAAATAATATTGGCTGATTGTTTTTTTTTTTGTTTACGTTGTTGGGTGTTTTGGTGTTTACGTCCACTCTGCAATGGCTATTTCGAACCCAGTCTCTCTAATAAACGACACTAAAGAATGCGTGATGATATGTCATTGCAGGAGTTCGTGATACTCCTTATCTAATAGGCCCTTTGCAGCTAGAGGTCACGTGCTTGGATACTGCATAGCAACACAAAACTGGAGAGCAAGCGCTCCAGAAAACAAACTCTCGTAAGAGGTCAAGCATATCTGGCTTTAGACAATAGTTTTCTGTTCATTACGCTCAATCCTTTTGCAATATCTACAAAAACTGTTAGTTACACCGCTTACCTGGCCAGGCAAAGGATGACAAAATGCGCATGGCTAAGTTGTAGTCCAAACAGAAAAGTTCATGATCTTGATGCAGTAAATAATGGTGAGAATCCATTTGGCTTATTAGAAATAAAAGTTGTCAAAGAAGGTGAAACTTCATTTGACAACGTTAGACATCTAACTAAGGACCAGAACACTAACTAGTACAAACTGAAGACAATAGACAATCATTACTACCAGATTCAGTGCCAGCTTGGACTCACAGGATTGGAATGGTGTGAATTTTTTTTAGTTACATTGATGACAATTTGTTTTTTTCTCTAGAATTAAGTTTGATCCAGTGTTCTTCCAGGAAGCAAAGGACAAAGTGGATAGTTTTTTCTTCAATTAATTTTTACATTAAGACTGTGTTCACAATGTATGGCAGAGGGAATGCGGCAGCTTAATTCAATTTTAATTGATCATCAAAGATTAAAACCCCTACACAAAGAAAGGCTAAAAACTTTGCAACTCCCAATTTTAATATAAAAATGTTCCTGTTTCCCTATGAATTTTTTTTTACATATTTTTGATCGCACTGATTTTTACTGCACCCTTCCGTCATACATGATGAATGTTGACTTCTCAAACAAAACACAGGTTGCTCTGTAATTTATACTTCCCAGATATTCCAATTTATTACATCCATTTTGAAATCAGCATCAAATCCTGTAGTTTGATTGGTTCAAATTGTATGATTCGAGCACGAATCCCACTATTTTCAGTCTGAATCGCATCTTTTTGTTAGCAAAACAGAATTCAACACTACATTTAGACGAAGAAGAAGTGACTTGAAATAACATTTGACGATAAAAACTTACGACAAAACGTTGCTTGATAACATTGTAAAATTTAATAACGATAACAAGCTATAGATTTTTTAAGAATAAACACTAGCGAGAAAAACACACAACGTTTCGATGACTCCATGTCATCATTCTCAAGTGAGAAGAGAATAAAAATGAATAGTTAATTTATACCGTACGAAGGTGGCAAACGTAAAAAGTTTAAAATATTTAGAATATTTGTGTATATTGGGTCCTAGAGTAGTTGATTTCTGTGAAGGGCCTCGAAAAGTTCTCGTATCGAGCTTAATATTTTTCTCACCTTGCCTTGCACGTGTTAAATTTTTCACAAATTTTTCACAACTTCGCCTGTTCCTGTTCGTAAGTCCGGCCAAGGCCTTTACGGTCATCGGCCCCTGTAACTTCGGCTTATAAACACAGGCGTTTAGTTATACTTGTAAAACTCCCTGAAGAAGTCTACGACAGTTAGACGAAACGTGTCGGAAAATAAAAGAAGTTTTACAACCACTGTTCGGAGAAGTGCTGCTCACTAGTCTATATTTAAATTTGTGTTTAGGATGTCTGCTAAAGGTAACATTTTCCTTGAGTTTGTCATTTAGTTAAGAAAATTTCCAAATTCCATTTAGTGTTAAGTCTTGACTTAGTGATAAATTACAGGACTCAGTGTGGCATGATACAGTCTCTGAATGATTAAATCTCTCGCAAACAGCTGGCCCTGGACTGACAGATGTCGTCGAAAAAAGTTGTGTCATAATCGTTGGCACACCATCGAAAAGTGCCACAAATTGGTTGTGGCTGAGAATGAGGTGGACCTCATGCAGCACATCATAAAGATTTTCGTGCCTCCAAGAGGGATTGTATTAGACTTTGGAGACTCGTATACTCTAGGTAAGACACAATTATACAAATAAAATGTACTTAAGCTGCACATTTTACAGACATTGCTCCAGGTTTTTTCACTTTTCGAACTTTTCCTACGACAGATACGTCTCTCTTTGTTTACTAGGTTAGAAATATCAACTTATCCTTTTTTAATTTGGTTAAGATGACAACTAAGAAGTATGATGAAACTTTCTAAATTGCAGACAATGTGTCTTTGTCAGATATTTTCAAATCAGAACTTGAAATATCTTACATTATAAGGTCAGGCACTCCTTCCACCTTGCCCGTACATAATAGAGGCTTAAAATAAATGACTAAATAA